GTGGGGCCTGAACTCTGGGCCTGGGCGCTGTCCCTCAGCTCTTCAGCTCAAGGCTAGCACTCTACCACTTGAGCCACAGCGCCACTTCCAGCTTTTTCCTTTTTGCTTATGTGGTGCTGAGGAATCGAACCCAGGGCCTCATGCATGCAAGGCAAGTGCTCTACCACTGAGTCACCTTCTCAGCCCCCAATTCTCATTTATTTATAAACAGAGCACAGAGGAAAAATGATGGTGAGAGCAATGGAATATGGATGTAAAAGGGGGGGGTCTGTCTAGGAGGAGAGCAGTAAGAGTAGGGCAGGGAAAGGAGGGATATTGGTATGGAAAGAGGACCAAAGAATACTACATAAACAGAAAGATAGCAAAACAAAATCCCTCAGATGCCGTTAATAAGGGATGCATGCACAAGGCCCTACATTCAGACCATAGCACTGAAAAAGGATATTAAAACTAAAATTATAATCCAGCAATTCCATTTCTGGGTATATATCCGTATAAGGGTTGTCACACAGAATGCTACAGGCTGTAGGACATTTAAATGAACAACAGAACTTTATTTATTGGTGGTACATGTCCAAGATCAAGGTACACTCAAATACTATTTCTTGTGAGAACTCACTTCCTGGATTGCAGACACCCACCTGCTCTGTCTTTACTTGACCTATCCTCTATGCATCAGGAAACAGTTTTGGTCTCTCTCTTTCCTCATTTTTCTTTGGAATGGAGGGTATTGAACACAGGGCCTCACACATGCTAAGCACATGCTCTACCAGTATGCCATACCCTCAGCCATTCTGTTTATCTTCTTCCATAGATATCAGTTCCAATCTATTGAGATCTCACCTTTACAACTTCATTTAATCTTAATTTCCTCCTTAAAGGCCTTATACATTGGGAGTTAGGGACTGAGCATATGAATCCTGGAGGCATACTATTCAGTCAATAAATACACGTAAGAATTAAAATCAAGACTTGAATAGATATCTGTACACCTATATTCATATCAGCATTATTTGCATTAGGCAAAAGGCAAAACAAGTCTAGTACCCATCAACAGAAGAACAGGGTTAGTGGCACAGCCTTGTGTAAGAGGCCCTGGGTTTAACACACAACACCACCCATGGAAAACACATGTATACAATAATGAATAAATAAAATATGGTACATACATGCAATGAAAGATACAAAATAGCAAATATATGATTCCAGTATTCCAAGTAAGTGGAATCTAGAATAGCAGTATTCTAGAATAGTCAAATTTATAGTCAGGAAATAGAATGTTTAGTTGTAATAGACTGGAAAGGATCACAGTTCAAGGCCAGCACCAATAGAAAAGTTATGAGACTCTTTCTCAACCCATAGTGTGTACCTGGCATCCCAAGTTACATTGGAAGCCTGAGATGAAAAGATTATGCCAGGCTAGACTGGGCAGAAAATTGTGCAAGACTCCATCTCCACAGAAGGGAAGATAGATACCGTGGCACATGCCTGTGATCCCAGCAATGACAGAAAGCCTAAAGGAAGTAGATTTGGGTTTATATAAGCGCTAGGAAAATAACTAGAGGTATAGCTTAGTGGTATCATACCAGCATAACAAGCACAAGGGCCTGAGTTCAAACCCCTAGTACTGCCCACACATACACCAAAACAAAACAAAACCTAAGACACAAACACATAGACCTGCCTAGGACAACAACGGCAGGATCATCACTACTACCTTCTTAACAGTCATTAGGGAAATCTTTAGAAACAGTAATATGCAGAAAGCTGTCATCTCTTATAAAAGGTAACAATGCCTTCTGGAATATCTCCTGAAGAATCTGTTTGAAGCTGCTTGATGGCTACTATTTTAACCCAGTAATATAATCATTTATCAGTACTATCAATCATATATTATACATAACTGTATATATAGCTGTCTTTTCATAGTATTGGCAGCACAGTTTGTTTTATGGTAGCATTACTACAAACATGTGAGTAATGATGATGTAAAGTCACTGGGTGGTAAGTTTTTTTAGCTCCACTATAACCAGCACTACATACATGGCCCATCACTGATCAAAACATCATTATGCAGTCCAGGACTATATGAAAGAGGGGGGAGGGAGAGGGAGAGAAAGAAACAGAGACAGACTATTTGTGTGTGTGTTGGTCCTGGGATGAAACTCATGGCCTAGGTGCTATCCCTGAGCTTCTTTTGCTCAAGGCTAGCATGCTACCACTTGAACCACAGCTTTTTGTTCCCCGAAGATTTCTTTATTGAGATTAAGTAATTACATAAATTTCACACTACTGTGGCATAGTTATACTTAGCTAAAGTCACAAACACCTTTAAACATTCACAATAAGCATCATCATTCTAATCTACAAAGCTTATGAATAAAGAAAAATACAAAAACCTCAAGTTTTACATACAAAAAAAATTTAACTCTTAGAACATTAACAATAAACTATCTCTTCCAGATCAGGTGATATGTATGTTTCTTTCCTTTTGCCTAGTATCAGATGTTCCCTCCTTTTCTCTCATTCCCAGTTTGTACTCTCATATATCCTGAAATTAAAGGCACATTCCAATCCCAACCAATTAGTTCAAAAAGCATCTTGTGAACTCCATGCTTGGCTAGCCTTTAATCGTGATTTCCAAATCTCCACTTCCTAAGTAGTTAGGATGAGTGGCTTAAGACGTCAGGCCCCGGCTTAATCTGCTCTTCATTTTCTAGTGTTGTAGGTCAGACGTTACAAATTTATAAACTTATAAACTTTCCTTAACTTTTTCTTCTTTTTTGTTTTGTTTTGTTTTGTTTTTCTGAAACAGAGTCACACTCATTAGTCTAGTTCAGGCTAGCCTTGAACTCAAAATCATTCTGCCTTGGCCTTCCAACTTGCAATCATCTTGCCTCAGCCTCCTAAATGCTAATTACAATGTGCAACACCAAATCCAGTTAAGCAGTACTTTAACTGCTTACATTTTCATTCAGCTCAAACTATTTCCTAATTTATCTTCTGATTTTTTTTTTTTCGGTCAGTCGTGGGGCTTGAACTCTGGGCCTGGATGCTGTCCCTCACCTCAAAGCAAGTGTCCTACCACTTGAGCCATAGCAACTCTTTCAGTTTTCTCATGGTTAATTGAAGATAAGAGTCTCACAGACTGTCTGACCCAGGCTGGTTTTGAAGTGAGAACCTCAGATCTCAGCCTCCTGAGTAGCTAGGATTACAGGCATGAGCCACCGGTGCCTGGCTCTTTTGATTTCTTTTTCAAAGAAGTATGTTATTTAATTTCTATGTATTTGAGTTGCTTAAATTTATTTCTGCTAATTGATTTTTAATTTCATCCCATTATGGTTAGAGAACTACTTTCCATTATTCCTATTAAAAGACTGAATGTTTTACATATAAATCACATCTCAACTTTTAAGAAAACATAAACATATAGGACTTGGGGTAAAACTCAGAGGTAAAACACATATTTAGCATGGATAATGACCTAGATTCAACCCTGGCACTAACACACAAACAAACAAAAGGGCCAGGCCTGATGCCAGATTCCTATAATCACAGTACTCAGGAAACAGAAGCTCCTGGACATAATCAGATAAAATCCCAGATCCTCAAGAGGACTGAGAGTTCAAAATCAGTATGGGCTATATAGAGAAACCCAAAACTAAAAACCATAAACAAAAAAGAACTCCAGTTACTAAACATAAGATGTTTGAATGTCTTTTTGTTGTTGTTGTTTTGTTTTGGTCGGGTATGGGGCCTGAACTCTGGGCTTGGATACTGTCCCTCAGCTCTTCAGCTCAAGGCTAGCACTCTACCACGTGAGCTACAGCGCCACCTCCGGCTTTACTCTGCTTATCTGGTGCTGAGGAACCAAACCCAGGGCCTCATGCATGCAAGGTAAGCACTCTACCACTGAGCCACCTTCCCAGCCCCCATTGTATTTCTTTTATAAATCAAAAAAAAAAAAAAAAAAGGAAAAAAGAAAAGGCAACTTTTTCCCCTTCCCCACCCCCCTCTCTCCCCAGTAGTGGGGCTTGAACTCAGGGCCTGGACATGTCCCTGAGCTTCTTTTGCCCAAAGCTAGCACTCTACCATTTGAGCCACAGCACCACTTCTGGTTTTGTTTATGTGGAATTGAACCCAGGGCTTCATGCATTCTAGGCAAGCACTCTATCACTAAGCCACATTCCCAGCCAAGAGGCAACTCTTAAAACAATAGTTCTGGGCTGGGATTTAGCTCAGTGGCAAAGTGCTTGCCTAGCAAGCACAACATCCTTGGTTCAATTCCAGTACCAAAAAAGAGAAGACCAAAAAAAAAAACCCCAGTTAAAAAAAATAAGCAAACAACAAAAAACAATAGTTCTTGGCAAGCTTATTATAGGTTTAGGATGTAGCTGAGTGAATTTTACAGCACCAACCACCTTTCCAGTTGATGCAAAATTGTTCAGGGAAAAACATCATTCTCTTACCTTGCAAGCTACATCAACTAATCGTGATTGGATGGCTTGATTCTCTGGTAGTTTGGTGCCAATTGCAAGCAAAGTATCCAGCAATTGAGCTAGGACTTGATGAGACTCTAGAAAAGATGGAAGGCTAGGTTATACAATTTCAAAAGACCATTACAGAAACTAATTTACTTTGTCAAGAATTTCTGGCTGGGCCCCAGTGGGTCACACTTGTAATCCTAGCTACTCTGGAGGCTGAGATGTAAGGATTGTCTGAGCTAGCCCAGACAGAAAAAGTTTGTGAGATTTTCATCTCTAATTAGCTACAAAAAGCCAGCAGTGGAACTGTAGCTCAAGTGATAGATTGCTAGCCTTGAGCACAAAAGCTCAGGGACAGTAGAGGCCCAAAGTTTAAGCCCCAGGACTGACAACAGAAAAATAAATTTTAAAAAATTATCAGCTGGGGGCTGGCAAAGTGGCTCAGTGGTAGAGTGGTTGCCTTGCATGTATGAGGCCCTGGGTTCGATTCCTCAGCACCATGTAATCAGAAAAAGCTGGAAGTGGCGCTGTAGCTCAAGTGGTAGAGTGTAAGCCTTGAGCTGAAGAGCTCAGGGACAAGGCCTAAGCCCAGAGTTCAGGCTCCACAACCAACCAAAAAAAAAAAAAAAAGTCAGCTGGATTCTACTATCTAATCCTAATGCTTTCAACTACAAGCTAAATTCCCAAAGTAACTGGATCTAAAATTAAAATTTGAATCTTTCATAGGACTGGGCACATTTCTACTCACATATTAGGTGCTCAAAAGTGTGGTGCTTGACTGATTTAAGATCCTTCTTTCGGCTCTTCCAGAACTTTCATGATGAAAGTCCAAATTCCTTAGCATTTATATATACATACAAGGCCTTCCACCACATGTAGCCTGCCTAACTTTTGTAGCTCATCTCTTTCACATCTCCTCTAGCACTTTTTCCCAACCACTCCTCATCTTTACACAAGCTAATTTCTCTACCTAGTATACCTCCCCTATCACCAACTAATTTAAAGTGTTACTTTCTGTGCACAGCTTATTCTAATCCTCAAGAATTGACCATTTCCTCCTCCTTGTTCCATAGCTCTCTCTCCAGCAGATATAACACTACTTATTTATTGCTATCAGACTAAAGCTGAAGACTGAAATATTCCTAAAGATAATGACTTTTGCTGTTGTTGTTTTGTGCCAGTATTGAACTCAGGGATTGGGTGCTGTCCCTGAGCTTTTTCTGTGTGCTCAAAGCTAGTGCTCAACAAGTTGAACCACAGCTCTTTGAACTTCCAGCTTTTTGGAGCATAGAGATAGAAGTCTCATAGAGCTTCCTTCCTGGGCTGGCTTCAAACTACAATCCTCAGATCTCACCTTCCTAAGTAGCTAGGGTTACAAGAATGAGTCACTGGCACCCAGAAATAACTGTGTTTTATTTACCTTGGCATTCTCAGAATCTAGCACAACTCATTATGTGTTTAATGAATGTTTAGTATGGACAAAGAGCCAAATACAAATGAAGCTATGGCCATCTTCTCAACCTCATCATCTCTGTATAAAAGGATCTGTGTGTTCTAAGATATGGTTCTTACAATGCTGGTGGTATACAAGAGGAATTTGGTGGCATATTTTATATTAATAATTATGTATATATTTTATTTTTTTTTTTTTTTTTGTCGGTCGTGGGGCTTGAACTCTGGGCCTGGGCGCTGTCCCTCAGCTCTTCAGCTCAAGGC